GACATCTTTAAACATTCCAACATCCAGATTATAGGGGTACCAGAAGGGGAAGAGGAAGAGCAACAAGTGGAAAACTTATTTAAACAAATAATAGAAAAGAACGTCCCCGATCTGGCAAAGGAAATAGACTTCCAGGAAGTCCAGGAGGCTCAGACAGTCCCAAAGAAGTTGGACTCAAAGAGGAATACACCAAGGCACATCATAATTACATTAGCCAAGATAAAATTGAAGGAGAGAATCCAGAAGCAGCAAGAGATAAGGGGATAGTCACCTACAAAGGAGTTCCCATCAGACTGTCAGCAGATTTCTCAAAAGAGACCTTACAGGCAAGAAGGGGCTGGAAAGAGGTATTCCAAGTCATGAAAGGCAAGGACCTACCTCCAAGATTGCTCTATCCAGCAAAGCTTTCATTTAGAATGCAAGGGCAGATAAAGTGCTTCTCAGATAAGATCAAGTTCAACATCACCAAGCCCTTATTATATGAAATGTTAAAGGGACTTGTCTAAGAAAAAGAAGCTAAAATATGAACAGTGAAAGGACAGCAAACTCACAATTATTAACAACCACACCTAAAACAAAAGCAAACTAAGAGGACAGCTAGATTAGGAGTGGAACCATAGAAATGGAGATCACATGGAGGGTTAGCAACAGGGGAATGGGAGAATGAGAAGGGGGGAGAACGTACAGAGAATAAGTAGCATAGATGGTGGGGAGAAAATAGACAGGGGGAGGGCATGAATAGTATGGGAAATATAGAATCTAAAGAACTTGTGACACATGGACATAAACTAAAGGGAGAGGGGAATGTGGGGGGAGGTGTGTGCAGAGTGGAGGGGAATGAAGGGGGAAAATGGGACAACTGTAATGGCATAATCAATAAAATATATTTAAAAAAACTTGAATACATTTTAGTAAAAGCTATGGATAGGGGCTTGTACAAAGAACAATGGAAACACCATTGTCCTAGGAGGCAGTCAATAAACTTGCCTGGAGAAGTCAGAGAAAGGGCCACTGATGAGACGAATTGTGAGCTGTGTCTCAAAGGAGATTGCGATGAGATGCAAAAGAAGGAGTGAGCTTTAGAAAGAAAATTCTGAGTTTCCTTCAAGACCTGTTGAGTTTGAGGGACCTGTGGAACATCAAGGAGGAGATATCGAGTAGGTACTTAGAATCATTAAGGGTTTGCATCCCAGAAAACAGTTGTCAGGCAATGATATGGATTCAGGAGGTGTCAGCACTTAGTGGTAGTGGAAGCCTTGGGAGTGAGTGGGAGGTAAGGCTGGGAAGGAGGCTGACTTCAGAGTTTACCCCTTTATCACGGACTGTTGCAGTCTTACCTCTCACCCATTTTATCTAGCTCGAGTACTAGGTTGAGCATAACTCAAGGGGTAAGATTGATGGTTGCTCATGTCAGCATTTCTCCACCTGCCCCAGCATCTTCTTTACTGCTTAGCATAGAGTTGGCACCCAATACCTGTTTGTTGAATACTTGAACAATAGTCACTGAGATGAGGGATGTGTATCAAGTGGCTGTAGCTGTGAGAGAGGAAGAAAGTGCACTAACAAGACAAAAACATTTGTTTTCAGTGATGCTGAAAAGGATTTCAGAGCCTTTGAATGGGACACAGAACAGATTTGAGGGAAAGAACTTAGCAGAGAAGAGGGCATAAAGAAACAGAGGTAGAAGTTCCCACAAAAAAGCTTGTAGACAACTAAGGTCAACACTGATGCTTTGTTGCCAGCCTCATGTTAGAATCAGTTTTAGCACAGTCAGATAAAGGCTAAAGAAGAGCATGTTTCTGGAAGAGCATGGCAAAATAGGACTTGGGAAAATAATACATCTATCTCACTCCTGTCCCTTACTGTGCTGAAGTCAGGTAGGTGGCAGGGACCGAGAAACAAAAGAGCCACTCTTCCAGTGCTTCTGTGGTTAACATTTGGCAATTGGGTGAGGAGAAAACTAAGGAGAAAATGGACTTGACCTTGTCCAAGAGCCTCTCAACTTATGTCCAATGCACTGAAACACTGTCATTGACAAATGCAGACTGTAGGAAGCAAAGAGGTGCTCTGCCTGCCAGGTGAAGTCTCATGAGGACCAAATGTCTTCTCATTTAGTTTGGAGAAGTCATCACTCAGTGCCTGAGTGGAATGGCAATGAGCCTTGGGAATTAGCCTTTAAGCCACCCAGGTGACAGCTTTTTTTTTTTTTTTGTTAACATTTGCTCTATTTGCTTTATATCACATTTTACCCATTTACTCATCCTTCAATCCAGCCATCAATCCATCTTATTTTTTGATTCATTACAAAATAAGCTCCAGACAATAGTACACTTTACTCCTAAACAGCACCATACAGCTAACCAGAGTTTAAAATGTGTTTGTTGTTCTTTTTTTATGTAAAATTTGCACACAGGAAATGTACAAATCTTGAACATACCATTTAATGGGTTTCACTTTGATGAGTATACACCTGCACATCACAAACTTTATGATATATAAAGGGAAATATAAGTTACTTCTCCCCTGCTTGACAGACTTCTTTGCTGACTATGCTCTGAGGTCATCTGATTGAGGAGTCAATACATTTTTGGTGGATACTAAGATGACATTAGTAAATGTAGCAGACACTAGAATAGAAAGAACTAGTGAGCTTTACTGAGTACGATAGAATTCTAAATACTGAAGAGTCCACAATTTCCCATAGGGTAGAAAGAATGTCCAGCTGCAGGAAACCTCAGAGAGTAAAGTAAACCTCACAGGTTTGGGAATGGGAGAAGAGAAAAGGGTCTTGGAGTAATCAGGTTGAAATTCAACTATGCAGGGTCAAGCATCATTCCCATTCCACTAAACCTAGAATTGCAATAGTTTCAACTAGCTGGGTGAAGAATGACCTCTGGACTCTATATAGGAAAAGTGGGACTGGACCAAGAAGAGTATGGTCAGACATGTGGAAGGTCCCTAGAAGGAAGTTCTTCAGACCGGGGACAATCAGGGGTTTGTGAAGTCCTTAGGCCCCACCCTCCCACTGCTGCTTATTTAGAGTGTGCTCCATGTTCTAAGTCTAATCACTTATGTAATGCTCTTCCTGATGAGGATCTTTTTAAAAGTATCTGAAATTTGGATTTTTTACAAAGTACCAGTGCCCTTCCCTCCCAGTTTCAGTGATTCAAGGAGGTCTGATGCTTTAGAGAAAACTAAGGGCTGAAATGTGTTTAAGGTCAGTGCTTTATATAGCAAGCAAGGCACTCCCTTCTCTCCTCACAGGCTCATCAAGTCCCAAGCTGCACATAAGATGCCCCCATCCAGGCTAACTATCTTTAGCAATGCCCTACTGACAGTCTTAGCTAACCAAGTGGATCAGATGCCACAGCCAAAGGTAGGGAACCACTCCTCCATGGCAACTACTGACCCACAAAACAAATGTCAATTGTAGGTCACACACAATTATAAAAAGCAACTTCTGTTTGCAGTGGCTGCTTCCTAAGGAAAGGTAAGGTGTTGGGGCCCTGTTTTAACCTTCAAGGAACCCACACCAGATAATTAAGAAAGTAGATTATAACACTTGATTCAACAATGTTTTCTATTTCACAGATATGCTTCATTCCTTCTGGTGGCTTTTTAAGAAAGACGGAGGGCATGTGAGAGAGTGGGAATAGGGTTACAGAAAGCAGGGCTGCTGAAAGGGGAAAGGAAGATGGAAGACAACTGAAAAAATAAAGGGGGAAGACAGATGGGTTGGCATCAGGAGGTGACTAAAAAAATAAAATAAAATGGCAGCTAAGGTAGAAGGGCGTCATGCAGAAAAGAGATAGATACAAAAAGGGAGAGGAAATGAAACAGAAAACCAGAGAATCAGCCAGGCTAACCCCTTAATTTTACTGATGGGAAAACTGAGGCCTAGAGAGGGAAATTGATTTGGTCAAAGTTTTGTTGCTGGTTAAGGCTTGAGCTGAGGCTAGAACTCAGGTCTCCTGACTCCCAGGTCAGGAGCATGCCTATCATAGCACAGGCAGCCTACATTCCAGACATTCTTTTTTTCTTTTCTTTAGATTTTATTTATTTATTTTTAGAGAGAGGGGAAAGGAGGGAGAAAGTAAGGCAGAGAAACATCAATCAGCTGCCTTTCACAAGCTCCCAACCAGGGACTTGGCCTGCAACCCACGCCTGTGCCTTGACCAGGATCCAACCTGCAATCTTTTGGTCTGCAGGCCAGCACTCAGTCCGCTAAGCCACACCAACCAGGGCTCATTCCAGACTTTCTGAGAGAACTCTGACATTTATTCAGGCAAGAACTTAAATAATAAATCTGAATCTAGGAAGGAAAGCAGAAAGCCCTAGATCCCACCAGACCAAGTCTAGGCAACTTAGAGACAGTGCATCATCAGAACTGGAAGTCTCAGGTCCACAAGGTACTGAGGAATGCTGGGATGCCTAGAAAGGGCTTGCTGAAGTTACTGAATTCACTGAGGTAAATAGACATGGCCCCTTAAGGTTGCCTATGTATCGATTCCCTTAGCTAGGCAAAACCAAAACCACAGACTGGAGATCTGTTCCTCCTCAGAGCACATCCACACATCCACACCAGTTGCAAGTGCAGAGGTGGAAATCTGAAAATGCCAGAGGTTCCTGGGAAATTGGAGGCAAGATGGGTTAAGTCTTGCTTGCTACAAGTTGACCCTTGGTTCACTTTGGGCTGGGTGGGTTCACTGCACTCTGCCAATCCAAGCTGAGAGAGAGAGAGATGCAAGCCAGCTTTGTCTTTCCCTCTAGACTGATTGCTTTAGAAAGTATGTTATGGTTGCCACCAAATACTTTCCAATTCACTAGGAAGCATGGTCTAATCTTCCTTTTACACATTTACAAACTTTTGACTGAACTTTGCCACGGCTGGATATACAAGTAATTCAGCATGGAACCAGAAGTTCCCAAAGTCTGCCATATGCCTACATATATGTACATACACATATAGAAAATGCTTTTGATCCATTCTCTTTTTTGGTTTGAATATGGAACGCTTCACAAATTTGCATGTCATCCTTGTGCAGAGGCCATGCCAACCTTTTCTGTATCGTTCCAGTGTTAGAACATGTCCTGCCGAAGCAAGCACTTTTCATCCACTCTTAAAAAGCCATCTTCTAAGGAGCATTTGTCTTAAGGGGTAAATCTGGATTTCATTCCCACTTAGCTTCATCAATCCATATGGGCAAGTTTTCTTAGTCTCCTAGTGTTCTGGCCTAAAACCCCTGTGTGTCTTCCTTTAGTGCAAGCCCAATACCTAGGCTTAGGATGGGATGATCTGGGGAGGCCGTGGTGAATGTGACAAAGAGTAAGTGTTCTGAATAAGTACTGAAATGTCTTAGGTGATAGAAGTATCTAGGTATAGTGACTAGCACATAATACATGCTCATTAAACTAGCTGTAAGAGTTCCTTGAGATCAGCCCAACATTGTTTTGCTAAAGCCCAGAGAGATGAAGTGACTTCCCCAGGTTCATAGTACTTGTCAGTAGCAGAGCCTCCACTAAGTCATAGGGGTTTTTTTATATCAAAGAGGAGTTTTTTAAATATAGGATCCTTCTAGAATCATCATTTCTTTGAATTGCCAAAGTGATCTCTCAGGACCCATTACCCAAAGATGAACTGAAAGTGCTCATAATATCCACTCACTGGTTTTAGTCCTACCTTTGATACAAAACAGAAGAAGCCAAATCCTTGTACTTGATAAGGATTTCAATCAATGCAGCCTCTTTGATTCCCTGGTTCCTTCAACTGTTCTCCATGTGGCACTCTTTTCAATCACCATCTTTATCAGCCACCTCTGGATTTATCAAATGCCCTCTGACAGTGATGCCCAGAGGTGGATGCCACCCTCTGAAGGGGCCTGTCTGGGCCAGTGCAGGGGCTCAGTGGGCTACTTCACTCCTTCCTCTGGACATTATTAGATTGTGTTGGTTGTTTTAGTAGTCACATGGCACTGTCTGCCTTTATTTAACTTGTGGTCAGCTCAAACTCCCAAGGTCTTTTTGATATGCACTATCATCAAACTGTGTCTTCCTCTTGTGGTCTTTGTACAATCACATATTTGTAAACTATATACAATTCTTTGTGTATGTCCCACTTTCCAAGTTCTGATCACTGACAGATGATGCCATCAAATCTTCTAGGTGTTCACTTCAGCAGCACATGTACTGAAATTGGAACAATACAAAGAAGATTAGCACGGCCCCTGTGCAAGGATGACATGCAAATTTATGAATAATTCCATATGTTTATGTTCATAGCAGCACAATTTACAATAGCCAAGTGCTGGAAGTAGCCTAGGTGCCCATCAGTAAATGAGTGGATCAAAAAAGCATGGTTCATGCCCTGGCTGGTGTAGCTCAATGGATTGAGCATGGGCCTGCGAACCAAACAACCACAGTTTGATTCCCAGTTAGGGCACATGCCTGGGTTGCAGGCCAGTTCCCAGCAGGGGACACATGAGAGGCAACCATACATTGATATTTCTCTCCCTCTCTCCTTCCCATCCCCTCTAAAGATAAAAATTTTAAAAAGCATGGTACATTTACACAATGGAATTCTATGCAGCAGAAAGAAAGAAGGAGCTCCTACCCTTTGCGACAGCATGGATGGAACTGGAGAGCATTATGCTAAGTGAAATACGCCAGGCAGTGAAAGACAAATACCATATAATCTCACGTATAACAGGAACCTAATGAACAAAACAAGCAAATGAGCAACTTAAAACCGGAGGCATGGAAATAAGGAACAGACTGACAGAGACCGGGGCGGGGGGGGGGGATAGTCAAGGAACATGTATGAATGACCCATGGACATGGAAAACAGGGTAGGGATTGACTGTGGGAGTGGAGATGGTGGGCTGGGCAAAGCAGAGCAAGGGAGGGAAATTGGGACAACTGTAATAGAACAATAAAATAATAAAATATTTAATTAAAAATTTTTCTAGATCAGAAAGCCTAGGCCTAAATGTTGAACCTTCAGCTAAGTATTCTTCCACAACATTAGCTTTTTTCCTGTCTAATGTATTTTGATCTACACTAAAATTAAATAGAGAAATTCTGCAAACTGCTGGAGTTTAATAGCTTAAAAGATAGCAGGTGTGCATTTGGGAAAGTGGCATTTATTAAGTAATTATTGTATATCAGACATTAAGTATTTTATATACATTATCTCATTCCCTCTGAGCGAGGTAGGATTATTCACTTTTGTTTGCAGACCAGGAAACTGAGGCTTAAGATATTTCATTGTTATTAAGGAGAAGAGGCAGGACTTGAACCTAGTTCTCACTCACTCCAAAGGCCATTTTCTTCAATTTACACTGGTGTTTCTTAATCTAGCTAGGTGCCACATTTGAATCACCTAGAAAACTCAAAAGCCACCCAATGCCTAGGCCCCACCCCAGGCCATTTACAACCATACTTCCTGGAAATGGGTCTGGGCATGAGCAGGTTTAAAGCTTCCCTAGGTCCCTGGCTGGTGTGGTTCAGTGGATTGAGTGCAGGGTTGAAAACTGAAAGGTCACTGGTTCGATTCCTGGTCAGGGCATATGCCTGGGTTGCAGGCCAGGTCTCCAGATGGGGCATTGTTAGAGGCAGCCGATTGATGTTTCTTTTGCACATGGATATTTTCCTTCCTCCCTTCCTATCCCTCTAAAATAAATAAAATATTTTAAAATAATAAAATGTTTTCAAAATTAGAAGCAAACATCACACAACTGAGAAAATAATTTGTATATTAGCAGGAGGTGCAAATTCCCAAAGAGCCCATTGGAAAACTAAGAAACTCTGAGGCAATGGGAAGTTGTAAAAGCCAGCACTGTGAGAACAAAGGGCACAACCATATGGAATAGCTTACCACAGGCAGGGCAACAGAGCCCATGTGAGAAGAGCACAGGTTCCAGAGAGAGACACTTAGATCTGTTCAAGGAGGAGTCAGAAGGTGTTGGGGCTGGTGAAAGAGCTGAAAGATGTGTTTAAAGTAAATCCTCCAAAGACTGGAAAGTTCGACTAAATGGCTTCTTCTGGTTCTTAATGTGCTTTCTATTTTTCCTGCACTTAGGTGAAGGCACTCTGGGTAATTTGCTTTTTGCTCATGGCTCCTTGTCCTGATGCTGGAGTGGATGCTTTTGTCTGCAAATTCTGCATGTGCTGTTTCCCCTTGTACAAGTAGTCAGGGCTACATAAATAAAATGTCTATTCTGAGAAACCATATATGTTCCTAGAGCCAAAGGAGCCTCTTCTCATAGCTCTCCAAGAGGCTCAACTGTAATAACTATCAAGTAGAAAGGGTGTGGTTGACGCTGCTGCTACATAAACAGACTGAGTTCTGAGGAGAATACAAGCAGTTAGATCCCTAATTTAGGCAAAATACACATATTCCTTTGAACTATGAAGAAAAATGGAACCAAGTTGTTTTCTTCTTCTTCTTCTTCTTCTTCTTCTTCTTCTTCTTCTTCTTCTTCTTCTTCTTCTTCTTCTTCTTCTTCTTCTTCTTCTTCTTCTTCTTCTTCTCTCTTTCTCTCTCAGCCTTCAGGGAGTCAGGTAATCTAATCTCCACAGACCTTCATTTCTCTCAGTTTGCAGGGGCAGACACCACCAAGAGAGTCTTGGAATATAAACATAATGTGTCAACACGCTCAAAATGTTTTCTTCACATGGATCTCATCTCACACTTCTTTCTAGCATTGGAGCCATGCAACAGTTCCATGGGAAGCAAGTCTCAAAATAGCAAGTAGTAAACACAGCCAGGGAGCCTGATGCAGCTTTGCTCTGTGCCAGCCCTCACCCCGCTCCCCTCCAGGGGAAAGCCAACTCTTTCCATCCTTGTACAGCTAAGCCAGGCTATGGGCTCGCATAATCAATGGCAGGTGCCACGCCCCATAATAAACCTGAAGGAAACAAAGAGGAGCATACAGAAAAGACTCAAGGCTTGATTGCTCAAGGAGTAGTGTTGGCTGGCACATTACAAGGAAGTCCTGCACGTGGGACTGGATCATTAAATCCCAAGTGCCCTTGGATCGGCAAGGAAGGTGAGTGGCAGAATGAAAGGGACCCCTGGAACTGCTAGATTGGGGAGGCTCCAGCCGGGAGTGACTGGGCCAAGACAACTACAATGTTTATTCAGCTTTCAGCTTTCATTTTCCTAAGTAATTTAAATGAGTTAAAGAGAAAAAAAAACTATTCTACTGGATTAAGTCCATCACTAAATATTTGGGACACACACTGAAAAGTTAGAAGCAAACCCCTGCAAAGAAATGATTGCTGGAATGAGGGAGTTGGCTACCAGAGGAGGCCTGGGAAGAGGGCCAACAATGACCCAAGAGAGAATTGAGATCGGTGAAATGATCCATGAAGTTTCTTGGCATTTTCGAGCACTCCTGGAAAGAGAGCGGCTCATCAACTTCACTGAAGAATCTCTAAACAAATAGCTCAGCTGTCTCTGTGTTTCTCAGCCTCAGAAAATTCAAGTGAAAGTTGTGAAATGAATGTTTCAAGTCTGCTGTCTGGAGTTTTATACTGCAATTTTGGGTGCTTCAGACAGTGTGCCCTAATCTTCAAAGTTACATGAGGACCAGCTGTGCCCTAGAAGTAGTTTTTCTCAGCCCCACCTGGACCTCAACTCTTTCTCAGCCTACATTGTTGTGTAGGAATGAATTTGAGCTCATGATCTCCATTGCCTTGAAACCAAAACAAAATACAACCAATAAAACAAAGCCTACCCCAAATACTCCAACTAGGAATTGATTGATTTTCCATCAAAAACTTCACAAGGAAAAGAGGGGAGAAACCAATACAGTCAGCATCCTATTCGATTAAATTTACCCCCAAGCTAGAAAAAGTATCAAGAGCAAATTTCCTATTTTGGAGACCTTGGATGACTCCTTCCCTTCATTATGCACAATAGTACTGAACTGGAGCCCAGGGGTGAGAGGCCAGTGGGAGAAAGTGGTGCTGATGGCTGTGGGAGTCCTCCTGTAGTAATCAGGGACACAGGTGCTAATCAGAATCCAGCCCTATGATGCAAGACTGAGTAGAGCACATGGAATATATTGGGGCTGGACCAAGGAGGGGAATAAAGAAGTGGGCC